TGAGATAGAGCCTAGTGGACTTTCATTCTGAGTTGGCCTACAGCAGTGATCTTCCCAATCTCAGCCTCCTGAATAGTTTCAGTGCATGCTACTGCATCCTGCTATGAGAGTCTTCTGAACTTTTATGGCTGGGCTGGCCAGGAACTTCGACCCTCCCATTCTCAGCTTTCAAAGTAACAGGATTACAGTTGTAGCCCATTGATGCCTAGCTTTAAGACCTTATTTCCAAACTAAGTCATGTTACGGGTCAAGGGTTGGTATAAATACTATGAAGAATCTTTCTAAGTCTACCTTTCCTTACTTTGTAGTTTTCATAGCTCTTTAACTTTGAAGACTCTCTTCCTTTATTCTCTTTAGAGTCCCTTTGACTGGTCTCAATGCATATTATTTATCTGAAATATCCAAATCCATGGCTTCAAACACCATTTCTATGGATGATGAGTCTCTTACCACACATTCAGTAAATTTGGCTTTCAAAGTCAAACAGAAAACTCACACAATATTCATGGTTTGTACATCAGTAATATCAGCAACACTGGAGTGCTTTCTGTAAAATGTAGAATATTGGTCCCTACCTTACAACTATTAAATCTGGATTTGTCTCTTGGCTGGGTTTCTAGGTGGTGTTTACACATATTGGGTTTGATGAGAGGTGCTTTACTTGCTTTCTCAAAAACTACCTTAAGTGGAGCACATGGGGAGCAGGGTGACCCATCCCTTAACTTTTACTCCCGTATTAAGTTGACAACTTTTAATGGGATATGTTGTACACAGACACCATCTCTGCTCTAGCATCTATAGAAATGAACAAAACAAACAAATGAAAAACAGCTGCTGCCTGCCTGGATCCTTATGCTAGAGCAAGATAAAAGGAAACTATGTGCTATCAAAAAGGTGAGAACATGGAACAGGATGAGGACCTCTAAGGATGGCATGGGATACTAGAATTGTGGTATTTCCCTTTTCCTCATTTTTGATTTCAGTGAATGAGGTAACCTCAGTGAACAAGGGGAAGACGAAAAGTATCCTGAAGCTGTTCCTTTACAGTCCATTCTGGATTCCTCACACCTATTAAACTTTAGTTGTTTACTGGCAAAGTTGGTTTTTCGTTACTGTTGTTTTTTGTCTTTTGTTTTTTCCCCTCCCATTCTCAGTTTTGCTTTTCCTGGATTTTGTTTCAGTTCCTATTACCAATCTCTTCTATCTACTTCTATCTCTGCTCTTCTATCTACTTTCTCATTGCTACTTTGATGGTGATGTCACCTGCTGGCTAGAAAACCCTTAATGGCTCCAAATGCCTTTGGAATAAATGCCTCTGAATGCCACAAAATGATAAATAAGGCTTATGGTAGTTTGATCTTTTCCTACTTATTACCAGAATTCATTCTCTCTCTCTCTCTCTCTTTGTCAGTCGTGGGGCTTGAACTCTGGGCCTGAGGGCTGTCCCTCAGCTCTTCAGCTCAAGGCAAGCATTCTACCACTTGAGCTACAGCACCACTTCTGATTTTCTAGTGGTTTATTGGAGATAAGAGTTTCATGGACTTTCCTGCCTGGGCTGGCTTTGAACCATGATCCTCAGATCTCAGCCTCTTGAGTAGCTAGGATTACAGGCGTGAGCCACCAGCACCAGGCTTCAGAATTCATTCTCATAAGTACTTTACCCCCTAGCCAAGCTGCATATTTTTCTGTCATATCTTTGCCATTCTGTTTTTGATTGTTTGTATGGGGAATATTAAGCTGCTATGTTATTTGGAAATATTACCTGATTTGGGTATCTTCCAATGTGGCATTATAAACACTGTTTTCTTCCTTTGGCTTTTCACCAAAAATGCATATTCATAGAAAACGGGGACTTCCTCGTTTACTTGTGATGATGAGCTCATGCCAACACGAAGCATGGTATTCACTGAAGTTTGTGCACTGTGACAAATAATAAATAACTTTACTGTCCATAGACTAAGTGGAAATCTGGATTACAAGCCTTCAGAGTAAGCACAAAGTAGGAAGGTGTGTTTGGGGAATAGCAAGTATCTAACTTTATAGTAGGTTTTCTGTTATTACAATTGAGAAAGGTGTCTTATATACCTTTCTGAGAACTGCATGAGAACAACCATTGCTACAGCTCAAGCAAGTGACGAAGTGACAGACATGTTCGGTAGAATATCAGATTTGGATTTTAGAAGTGTTCTTGTCCTGAATGAGATGTGGTTATGAAAGGAAGAATTTGGAAGTATGCAGTCCTGGTACATTGAACACAGACAAACATGCCAATGCTTGTTAAGGCCATGTAATACATCACTGGCAAAAAAAATTGAAAGAAAAGGAAAGCTCTTTCCATTAGGGTCTGCTGATAGCAAAGGAGAAATGAAAGTAGCTATAGTCACAAAGTTCCCAGTAAGTAGGTAATTTGAGGTCCATAAAATTTTATTCATTTTTATACCATCAACTTTGAGGTCTTAACATCATATCTTTTTTTCCCTTGGCTTCTTAATTGCTAGAAAACATATTGATTCCATAAGAGTGATCATTGATTTAGAATAGAATTTATGACAGAAGCTTCTCATCTTTTCATTCATTCTAGGAATGTACAGATTTCCTCTCTGATTACGTAGTTGCAATGTAAGAATTCATATTTGTTCATGTAATCCAGTTACGGGGAGGGGGGATATAGTCATCTTGGAGGGACTTAACTCCTACTAGATAAAAATTAGTAGTAAGTAAGAAATATAATTACTCCGATAGCAAGAAAACAAAGCTTTTCTTTGATGCTTGTAATTGCTCAAACTAAGTTATCCATCCACGAAAACAAAACTTTCTTATTAATCATAAGTTCTAGATGAGTCAAATATATACTTTTTACAGCTACTTGTCTAGTAATATTTTTTGAAACCAAACACTTGCAGTTATATATATTTTTTATTGTGAAAATACCGTACAAAGGGGTTACAATTACATGAGCAAGGTAATGAGTAAATTTCTTATCAAGCATTGTTGCCTCCTCCTTTGTTTCCCCTTCCCATCCCTTCCCGTCTCCCCCCACTCCCTGCACACCAAAGTTGTAAAGTTTGTTTTTCGACATACATCTTGTACATCTCATTGTTTCAATGGGTCCACCTATATCCCTATTTAAACAATTTGTTTTTTTCCCTTCCCCTCCCCAAATTATACCAACCTGGAACTCAAAAAATTAAATCCCCCAACAATAAATCTGCCATTATATTTTCTAATCATATGATTACATGATTTCTAGTGTTACACTTTTGAAAATCATATTTATCCTATAGTCAACTCCAGCATCTGTTTTAAATACTGCTTTAAGAATTGATAAAAATGGGGCTGGGAAGGTGGCTCAGTGGTAGAGTGCTTGCCTTGCATGCTTGAGGCCCTGGGTTTGATTCCTCAACACCACATAAGCAATAGAAAAAGCAGGAAGTGGCTCTGTAGCTCAGGTGGTAAAGCATTGGCCTTGAGCTGAAGAGCTGAGGGACAGGGCCCAGGCCCAGAGTTCAGGCCCCACGACTGCCAATAAATAAATAAACAAATAATAAGAAATAATTATAAACTGATGCAGTTGTTCAACAATTCTGTTAAAATTAGGTTTAATTTTTAAAAACTTGGTTAATCAAGTGATAAAAAGCCTAGGTTCTACAACTCAAAAATCTTGACCTTCTCTATTAAAAACAGCAATTCTGCATTTTTGTTGTTTTCCTTCCCATAATTGTTAGGGAGAAAACAGTAGTGTGGGTGGGAAAAAAGCCTAGATTTGTATATTAAGGATATATTCTTTATTTTTATGTTTTTGAAAAATATTGTAGTGTTATTTAATAAAGACTTATGACTCTATATAATTAAAAAGAAAAGAGAAAACCCAGGAAGGATAAGAAACAATCTACTGAGCTTTTACTCAGTAGGCAATAAATTAACATGTAAGGTTCTGACATTTTTTACATAGAAATGAAAATTATTAGAATCACTGAAATTTAGATTCCAGTGTCTACTGAAGATGTCAGAGAGGCTAACTAAAGTGTCATATACGTGTATATGTGTATATTCACAACCACATTCTTTTTTTTTTCTCCATATAGTTTATTTTTATTTTTATTTATTTATTTTTTATTGTAAAGATGCTATACAGAGGGTTACAGTTACATGAGTGAGGTAATGAGTACACTTCCTATTGAACATTGTTACCCCCTCCATTGTTTTCCCCTTACCATCCCTTCCCTCCCTACCTTCCCCAGGTTCTTTTTTTTCCCTCCATATAGTTTAAAAGTCTATAGATACTTATTGTCCACTGAAGAATTTTAACATATAACTGAATATAAATCAATTATTTGAGAAACTTTGTCCAAGATCCTCTCATCAGCATTGTAAAAACAAAAGCAAACAAACAAAAAACATTTGTCAACTAGAGATCTATTAGGAAGGGGAAAATCCCCACATACAGTCATAGGCAAGAAGAAAACAGTAGTTATCACAGGGTTTATTGGTCTGGGGTACTTTAAATGACTAGCTTTAGATTGTTAATCTAATATTTTTTCTTACTGAACAGTGCAAGCATATCTTTTTTTTAAATTTTATTTTATTTTATTTGTGAACAAACTGTACAGAGGGGTTACAATTGCATGGGCAGGATAATGCGTACATTTCTTACCAAGCATTGCAGCCTCCTCCTTTGTTTACCCTTCCCATCCCTTCCCAGCCTCCCCCCTCCCCCCCATCCCAATCCTTCTCACAACCACATTCTTGATCCTAGAACAATATATAAGATTATAAAGACTATAAAGGCTTATTCAAAGAATAAATTAGTGCTAGCATTCTTTGAAAAATATATTTTCCAGATTATTAAAAAAGTGCTTAAATATATATATATTTTTATATATAAATATATACATATAAATAAGTATATTCCGAACATTACACATAGTAATATCTGTCATTAGTGTTGGGTTGTACTATGCATTTTGGATTTTAATGAGTTTCTTTGTTCTTTCATTCAGAGAATTTATCAACAGCCTTCGACTGTACAGGTCATTCTATGGTGGCCTGGCTGATCAGCTTTGCATTAAGGAATTAGCTGCTGCTGATGGACTACCCTGCTGGAATGGAGAAGCTGTGCAAAGGTATGTCCTGTGGACTGGTCTGTGGAAACATGGTAACTTCTCTTAAACCCTGCTTGTTCTCTTTTCCTGAATCATCAATGGATATCTTTAGTTTTAACTTTTCTATACATGACCAAGTAGTGATGAACTCATTATTTCCTTAAAATAGATTCTAATCCTTTTGATTAAAAAAATGATCACTTCCTGTGATGTTTTGAAAGATTTTCTTCTTTTCAACCTATGATTATAAAATAATCTCACCTGTCTTAATCTCACCTGTCCTGTTCAGTTGGTTTTATTTTTCAAGTTTGTTTTTGAACTTCATGGGTATTGAAGCAGGAGGAAAGTCAGCTAAATGTCAATACTCATATAAAGATGCACTGCTATGTGAATGTTTCTCAGTAGTATTAGCATGTCCATCCTACAGTGATTTTCTCTTGACAGCAAAAGATAGGGAGAAAGAAGAAAAAGAGGAGAGAGAGGATAAAAGAGAGAATGGAAAGGAGAGAGACAAAGAAAGAGTATGAAACAGAAGAGAGAGAAAGAAAAATGTATACTTACATAATCATAACAACTTTATGTGTGTTTCAATTCTTGTTTGCATGTTGTCAATTATAATGAAACATAAAAGGAAAAGTTCACTTTTACCTTATTCTTCTCCATCTGGTGTTTCTGTTGTAGCTTCTCTTTTATTTCTTGTAACTGATTGTACTTGCAATTATCCTCCTATACTTGCCACACTCATCAATACTCCTTAGTTCATAAAACTGATAAGGAAGTAGTGCTTTTATTTGTCTTTGCTGATAATTATATATGAGATAATGAAGCTCTGTGTCATGGATTTGAATTTTTGAAGTGTAAAATATACTTTATTGATATATGTTTATTTGAATTCCTTAAAAACGTTTATTCTTGCTTTGAAGTTGTCAAAAAGTACACTTTAGTTTCCACAGTCTACAAAAAGGAAAGATCAGATGTCATGCTTTCTTATGTCCCAACACACATGCTCCATATAGAGTCAGTTTGTTTAGTTATCAAAAAAGTGATAAGTTCATTTAAAGTGTTATTTAACAAAATAAATTTACTATAATAAATATATACTATAAAACTTTCAAAATGAATGATACAGTAAGAGCTAGTTACTTATTTCTTGGTGATTATATTCATTATATTTAAAAGTTACATTCCTGAATTTTAAGTTATTACTTTATAGCTGACATATACATATCTCATAGAGGTTATTAAAATATTTTTGCAGATGAGCACTGTAATTAAATTTAAATACAATATTTAATACTCATGATTGATGTTCTTTTTTCCCTGTGTGTATATTGGACTTTAATAAATATTTTGCTGTCCTTGAAAGAAATAATAGCATAGATTGTCTTGACTTCTTTTTCTTTTCTTTTGTTTCTTAATTTTCTTTTTCTTCTTCTCTTTTCTTCCCTTAAAAAAATTATTAATGGGACTTGAGTTCAGGTCTTATTCTTTAACTAGGCTTTTTCCATACACAGATGATACTCTTCTACTTGAATCATATATCCAGTTTCTGCTTTTTGCTGCTTCAATAGAGAAAAGATTCAGGTAATTTGCTTTTGTTTTCAAAGTGAGAATCTCAGATCTCAGCTTCTTGAGCAGCTTACAGTTGATGGTGGAGTGGTTCTTAGCATTCTCATTGGTCCCAGCTCAATCTGACATTTCCTGTCCCACCCAGACCTCCTGTCTGTTTGCCATTTCCAATTGCACCACGATTCTAGTCTCTGATGAACAAGCTTTAGTTTTCCTTCATCTATCCCCAAATATTTTCTCTACCTTCCTTATCTTAGGGGACATTTTACCCTTTTCTTCAAGATAGTTTCTTTTTTAAAGTATATTTTTATTGTTAGTATATATTATATGTAAATATAAAATATAATATATATATATATACATATACATGTAATTGTTTTGTATATATTTATTTATTGTTAGCCTACCTCCAGAGATGATTCTATTTCATCTCTGAGTGTTTTGTAGTAGTGAACGAAGAGTTTCCCAGGCATGTTTTAGTAATATATTGCAACAAATCATTCCTTAATACCTTAAAATATGTCAATTGACTCACCAGATAATCTCTGTGAGTGTAGAATGTGATCTTTTTTCAGTGTATCCACAATATTAAAAACATAAATATTTATGAAATGTAATTGATTGATTATGGTGTATTCATCATGAATATTGTCTTCAAAGAAAAGTATGCATATTTGCATCTGCTGTTATAAAATAATTTTAAGTAATTGTTCAGTAAAAATGACTGAAAGCAGTATTATATATATTCTACTAGTAGATTTAAGTTCATAAAATAGATGCAAGTATTTCTTCTGAATAATACTCTTGGTTGGTTAGTAGGAAAAATGTTAATATGTCTAACTTTAGGACAAAATACTAGGAGGTTGTCTGTATTTTTATAGTGTACATAATCAATCAAATAATTAATTAGATGGTTTATTTTGGTAACCCCAAACCATTATTGTTTTCTTTTTAAAACAATGTTTCTTTTGTAAAAAAAATTAAAATTACCTTTCAAGAAATTAAAAATGAAATTAATGGCTCATGTCTGTAATCCCAAAGGTTCAGGAAGTAGAGATCTGGTGCATCACAATTTGAGGCCAGCTTGAACAAAGAGTTGGAGCAAGACCCTTTCTCAATCAATAGCTAGGTTTGGGGACATGCACTTGTCATTCTAGCCTCACAAAGCACAAAATAGGAGGATTGCAGTTCAGGCTAGCCTAGGCACTAATTCAAGACCCTGTCTCAATGTTATAAAGCAACTGAGCTATGCACATAGCTCTAGTGGTATAGTGATTACCTAGTAAGCTTACCTAGGCCTTAAGTTCAACCCACACTACTGCCAAAAAGAAACCTCTTTATCGTGCTATTTATTTATGCATTTAGTTTTTAAAAATTCCATAGTTTTATTAGCATCAATTAGATGCCATTTACTTTGGGCCATTTACTTTGTCATGTCCATATATATATGTGTATATATACATGTATGTATGTATATACACATACAATGCTTTTCCTTGGTTAGACTCAGCCCCTGTATTACTATCCCTCATTCCCTCTTTCCTCTCCCCAAACAATTTCAACAGGCTTCATTACTCCAATTTCACAGTGTATATAAAGTATTTCAGCCATATTTATCCTTTTTTGCCTCTCCACTCATCCATGCCCATTAGAATCCATACCCTGTACAGTATACATTTTGCATTTCTTTCACTATTTTTTAGTGTATATTAATTGTTCAAAGAGATTTTACACATGCTAGTACTGTACTTTGATGATATTTCCCAATTTCTGTAATTCATATTTTCATTGTAATTGTGTGACATTGCATAACATTGTGTGACATTGTTTTGTCAAATCTTCAGGGATCCATTTAAATATTTAAATATTGAAATATTAAATCTCCCTTAGAACATTCCTATATTGAGTCTAGATTACTGTTATGATAGGAAATTGTTAACCACTTCCTCTTTGAGAAAGAAATAAAAAGCAGAGATCACTAGTGAAAAACTGTAAGAAATCCTCACATATATATGTATTCATTTCTGAGACCTATAAAAATTAAAATAAAAAATGACATACACTTTTGAAAAACAATGGATACCAAGTGAATGTATATCAACTTTGGGATTGAACACTAATTTGATTCATTATGGTGGGTTATAATCAAGTTCATCTTGGAGAAATGATGGTAGCCACATCAATAGGTTTAACTGGCTGCCAATGCTGAATTTATCCTCTATTATAAGATCAGAGTGATTGTTTTGGCAAGATTTCACTTCCAGCGTTTTCTGCTTATGTGGCACTAGGGAATAACCCAGGGCCTCATTTTGTGCAAGGCAAGCACTCTACTACTGAGCCACCTTCCCAGCCCTTTTTTTTTTTTGGTCGGTCGTGGGGGCTTGAACTCTGGGCCTAGGTGCTATCCCTCAGCTATTCAGTTTAAGGCTAGCGCTCCACCACTTGAGCCACAGTACCACTTCTGGTTTATTGGAGATAAGAGTCTCACAGACTTTCCTGCCTGGGGTGGCTTTGAACCATGATCCTCAGATCTCAGCCTCCTGAGTAGCTAGAATTACAGGTGTGAGCCACCAGTTCCCAGCTTCTGACACGCATTTCATCTATACAGATTTCTGTATAGATGAAAGTGTCTCAAAGTCTCAAATACCTTCATTAGGTAAGAGGAGTTGAATTTCTGAAACAAAATTGCTTTAACTCAAATGATTTTGAACATGTACTCCTACCATCTTATGCAACATTGTGTCACAGTTCAACAATTCTTAATTCAAGATGAAATGCATGGTCTCTCCTCTTAAGGTATTCTCTCACCTCTCCTCTCTTCATCATGAAATAAAATTGTTCTCTGGAAGGTTTTTCAGTTCCTACTCTATGATTATAAATTGATTGCTTATGATTTGTAACTCTCCCTTAATCTCCAGGAATTTATGGTCCTCACAACAACTCTTAAATTAGCCAGAGGGTGTTAAGTACCCTAATAAAATTAATAAGCCACGTTATTCCTAATTTCATTTTGATTTAGTTATTGTTCCTGAATGCTTCTTTCATAATTCAACGTTTTCTAGCTCTTCTGTTAAGATAAACCCTTTTCTTAAACAGTTATAATAGAATTTTAAAAATAAGACAAAAACAGAAAACCTGAGAACCTGGTGAAATTGTCTACTTGCCTATTGTCTGTTTCTGCTCTATACAAATAATTACCCTGACTATATATTTGGTTTTAACTTTAGCATCTCCATCCTAACCCATCCTCTTACTCTTTATCAGGAAATCTACCTTACTTTCATCTTTTCTGTTTTATTTCCCAATCTTACAGTATCCAATTATATATATATATATATATATATATATATATATATATATAATATTATATATTTGCTCATGGAGCTTGAACTCAGAATTTGGGTTCAGTCCTTGAGCTCTTTTGCTCAAGACTAGTGCTCTGCCACTTTGAG